GAAAGGGAGTCAAACCTGTGGACACCTTGATTTTAGCCCAGTGAGACCTGCGTCAAGACTTCTACCTCTGGACTGCAAGATAATATCTTTGTGTTGTTTTAAGCCACTGAGTTTTCACTCCAGGCAATATAATGAAACCTCATCTCTCCAAAAAATTTTAAAAATTCGCCAGGCATGGTGGCACATGCCTATGGTCCTAGCTACTCAGGAGGCTGAGGTGGGAAGATAGCTTGAGCCCAGGAAGTCAAGGCTGTGGTGAGCCGTGATCATATCACTGCACTCCAGCCTGGGCGACAGAGTGAGATCTTGACTCAAAATAAACAAACAAACAAACAAACCACTAAGTCTGTGGTAATTTATGTAGCAGCAACAGAATGAATACAGAAAGCCTTAGATTTTTCAATACTAAGTATGATGTTTGCTGTTGGGTTTTTATGAATATATTATCTATTTGTTCTTGTGTTCCTTCTATTTTGGAACATGTTTTAAAATCTATTTTCTGGCCGTGTGTGGTGGCTCACACGTCTAATCCCAGCACTTTGGGAGGCTGAGGTGAGAGGGTTGCCTGAGCCCACGGATTTGAGAACAGCCTGGGCAACTTGGCGAGACCTCATCTCTACAATAAAATAAAAAAATTAACCGGGCATGGTGGTGCATGCCTGTAGTTCCAGCTACTTGGAAGGGCTGAGGCAGAAAGAACACCTGAGACCAGCAGGTCAAGGCTGCATTGGCCTTGAGTGTGCCACTGCACTCCAGCCAGGGCAACAGAATAAGACTCCAACTCAAAAAAAAAAAAATCTATTTCCTCTGTCAGTTTTTTCATTTCCCTCCCATTGCTTGCCCATTTCATATATGGTTTTACCAATTTTGATGCTATGTTGTTCGTCTTAGTTGCTATCATGTCTTCAAGTTTTTCAGCGTGTTTGAAAACATTAGTGTTTTCCTCTGCTCTGTAGGTAATTTATGGGATGGCTTCATTTTCTGTGGGCATGTTATGCAGATTGTAAGCCTGTTTTCTTAGAGCATATTGTGAGATGTGGTCATGTTTAAATGAGATGCATTTTCCTCTTGAGTATTTAGAAGATTCCCATGAAGGAGGTGCGAATGCACCAGGTCAGCCTCCCAGCTTCATGGTTCCAGTGCTGTCTCTTCTGTAGTTAGCACAGAGCATTAATAAGATGGTTTTGTGTGTTGCTACCTCTCTAGCATTTTCTGAATTGTTTCATTTGGTCCCCTCTTCTATCAGTATTTTTTTTTTGAGACATGGTCTCACTCTGTCACCTAGGTTGAGTACTGTGGTGTGATCCCAGCTCACCACAGCCTTGACCTCCTGGGCTCAAGTGATCCTTCCACCTCAGCCTTCCAAGCAGCTGGGACTACAGGCATGTGCCACACCATACACAGCTAAAGTTTGTATATTTTTGTAGAGGTGGGGTCTTGCCGTGATGCCCAGGCTGGTCTCAAGCGATCCTCCTGCCTTGGCCGCCCAAAGTGCTAGGATTACAGGCGTGAGCTACCGTGCTTGGTCTTCTCTCAGTATCTGAGCCACTCAGCCTTACACCCCAGTCCTTACCTTGTCAGCGTGTGTCCCATTCCCCATAGTCCCTCCCGTGACAATCCTGTGTCCTCCCCTGGCTGTTTTGGAGCACTGAGCACCACCCTTTCCACAGGCCCTTTTGCCAGCTGCCACGGGAATGTCAGTTAGCTTTCTCCCAATTTGGACTGTGGCTTTTGACTCCACCAACTGAAATTCCCCCACTACTGGGGACTGAGTTCATGAGGGTAAGCCCTGGGACTTTTGGCTCATAGGACCATTACAGGACCCTTTTCCTTTCTCTCTGCTTCCTCCTCCAAGACTACAGTTCCCATGTGATCTTTTTGGTGTCAGTGGTTTTAACCCCCACTACTCATATTCACAGAGATACTCCACTGCCTAGTTTTAGCGAAGACAGTGTCACGTATGCCTGCTAGAATTGGCTTTTGATTTTTATTTGAAAGTGATATGTCCTCTTCTATTTACATCGTAATACCCAGGACAGGACAGACTAAACTACAGTAACAATTAATTCCGAACAGCAGCGACCCAGCGCAGCACTTCTTTCTCATTGTGTCACAGCCCAGTGCCCGTCAGGAGGCTCTCCGGCAGCCTGCCTCCAGCAGTGACTCCTGGGCCTTGGCTGGAGTCATTCTGCAAGTTCTTTGTTCTTACTGAATGAGAAGACAAGAGAGTGGTCAATCATGACAGTGAGTTTTACCACTGTCTGGAAGTCACATATATCACTTGTTCCCATACTTCAGCGGCCAGAACTCAGTCACGTGGCCCTGAACTCACTGCAAGAGAGAAATAACGCAGCACAGACGCTTTGCTGAGTGACTGTGAGGGAGGGCAGTCTGTGAGGCCTATGGTCTGCCTGTCCCTTACGCATCTCCATGAGGGTTTATGACCTAGTCTAATCAAAGAACATGTCACCATCATTTCTTTTTTTTTTTTTTTTTTTTTTTGAGTCAGAGTCTCACTCTGTCACCCAGACTGGAGTGCAGTGGTTGCTCCTGGCCACCACAGCCTCGACCTGCTGGGCTCCGGCGATCCTTCCACCTCAGCCTTCCGAGTAGCCAGAACCACAGGCACGTGCTACCACACCCGGCTAATTTTTTTTGATTTATTGTAGAGATGAGGTCTCGCCAAGTTTCCCAGGTGGGTCTCGAACCCGCGGGCTCAGGCAATCCACTCACCTCAGCCTCCCAAGGTGCGGGATTACAGGCTGAGGCACCGAGCCCAGCCACCATCATTTCTTAAAAAGGTTCCACTTAATACAGTACTGTAACGTTTAAAAAAATGTTACAAATCAAATTATTTTCAAGTCTGGAAAAGACTGTCTCCACAAAGAGTCTTCAATTACTGACAGATTTGGGGGTATGTAAGGCACATTCAATTACGTAAAATTAGGATTATAAATTATAAAGGTCCCAGTTAAATATATCTTTTAGCATTATGAATTAAACTATATCTTTAATATATGAAGTATAAATGCAAACGTTTTTGCAAACATCTAAATATTCAATGATAAATACATACAGAAGAAATATAACGGTAAACAATAATTTTATTACCTTTAAGTCTACAATGTTCAAAACTGTAAATATATTCATTGAAAAAAATCCCACAATATTTTAATAAAAATTAAGCTCATGAAAGTTTACAAAATTCAACCAATGAACTCTGACTTGTAGTTATATCTCAACTTGACTTTTCTGGCATGATCAGACCATTTAAACATATCCATAGTATCTTAATTTTAGGATATAAAACAGTAGCAATCAAGTTTTCCATTATAAAAATTAATATAGCAATTCTCAAAATACTGAAAATTGTTTTATGAAAGCAGTATCCACATCACAGTAACATATTTCCTTTCTTTTAGAACACATCTTCAAAAGGCACATTTTAGTTACCAGTATATACCTCAAAATAATAGTCTGAGGTCTGAGTTTCCAGTCAATTTCCACCGTCTCAGAATCGAGCCAGTGGAGGGTTAGAGGAGGCAGGAGAACACAGGTTTCCAATGAACTCACAGGGCAGCGGAATTCTCACTCGTCACGTCCATGAAGACCAAGAGAAAAATATAAAGGAAGTGAAAACTGTCTTACGTCCTAACCTAATCTTCAGGAAATACTTTCAACACAAAAACACTTCATTAAAAAAAAAAAATCACAAGACAGTAAGCTTAACAAACAAAATGAAAGATCACAAATTGCCCAGTTAAGCCCAAGTGATGGTGTTATTGGTTTTTAGCCTGAAGAAAAGTATGAAACTTCTGCTTCTCCAAAATCACATCTTCATATCAGGCTTATCACTATTTAAATCACCGATTGAGTTAACAGTGCTAGAAATTTCCAAGAATGTCAGATAGACTGATATGCAAAATAAAGTAAAAAAATACATTTCAAAATCAAATATAAATGACTTTATGGTTATCTGTCATGGTCCCATTTAGTTTGGTCTGATAATCTAAATTTGACTGTAATTATAATAATATCTATAATTTCAAGTCTGAAAATTATTATTATTTTAAAGAACTTATGACCCAGGACCCCAAAATGCAATCCAATATACAATTTGGAGTATGGTTTACTTTTCAGTGAAGTTTAATACTAATTGAAATACTAAATTGAACAAACTCAATACTGTGAAGTACTAATCCCAAACACTTGATTCCATCCAAGAAACAAAAGGGAATTTTTAAGGCCATTTTGGAATTCCAAAATATTGGGGATCTACCTTAATTTTACATTATTCCTTTCAGGTCTCAGTTGAGTGCTTTCGCTTTTTTAAAAAAGGGGGAATGTCTTTAGATTTTTTTTTCCCTCAGTACAGCAAATTAATTCACCAAAAATATTCTAAAGTACAAAAAAAGAAAATAGTCACCTATTATTTAACCATATATAATTTTCTGGTCCCTAATAATGGCCACTTTTAGGGCAGTTATTCAAGTTCTAAAACAGCAGCTTTTAAAATTAAGGCAATATTGCTTTATCCTTACCTATTTTTCTATTAACTAACTATTCTGTTACAGTTCATAAGAGCAGTTTCAGACGTAGGCACCTTAAAGACCTTTTGCAATGTAAGAAGAGTTAACATAAACATTTTTCTCAATGTTTAAAAATTATATTAAGGCCAGGCATGGTGGTTCACACCTATAATTCCAGCACTTTGGGAGGCCAAGGTGGGAGTATCCCTTGATCCCAGGAGTTCAAGACCAGCCTGGGCAACATAGCAAGACTTCATCTCTACAAAAAATAAAAAAAAATTAGCCAGGCATAGTGGTCCGCGTCTGTAATCCTAGCTACTTGGGAGGCTGATGTGGAAGAATCGCCTGAACCCAGGAGGTCGAGGCTGCAGTGAGCCGTGATCATGCCACTATATTCCAACCTGGGTGAAAGAGTGAAACTCCAACTTAAAACAAAACAAAAAAACCCTGGTATATTAAAAGTTATTGTATTCAAAGTCAGCAAATTCCTTATTTTTTCTATATGGACTTCTAGAGCAATTACAGTCATTCCAGCATGTTTGAAATTACATATTAAACTAACAACAACATAAAATACAAATTTTCTACGAAAATACAATATAGGAGATATATCATGTCTTCCCTGAAAGAGAAATTTAATATTTGGACAAAAACTGTAAACTTTTGGTTACATTCAGAATATAACCTTTTAAAGACTTAAACGACTTGAGGTTTTGGCAGATGGAGCTCCTGCCAGTGGTGGTTCATAACTGTAAAGTTGCAATAACACAAGAATTCTAAACAGTTTTTTTTATCTGACTTTTACAACATCAGCTACCAGGAGGAAAAAAATGGCTTCCTGCAATGGAAAGTCTGGGTAAAGGAGTTGCTGAGGTGGACAATCCGACCCTGACTGCTGCCTTGACTGCACTCCACAATCACACAGGGCATCTGCACCAGTTGGAAAGGGCTCTTCACATCTCTCAATGCCTGAGTGAGATTTAAGATCTGTGGGAAGAAGACAGATTTTCACCAATTTAAAAAATATAAAAAGCTTCATTCACTGACATGATCTTAACCATTTCTTCACTATAATTCTTATTTCACCTACTTATGCACAACAGAGATTGTGATGAGAACTGTTATAAATATATAGTATATGGATGGATGAATGGATATTTATACACACACATGCATACACGCACATAAATGCACAAAATTAAATAACTTTTGCTAACTACTAACTTTAAAACATTCTAGAACATCCCTATGTCTGGGAGCAATGGGATTAGAGACTGAACAAGGCGAAGGGTTCTAAATATTCCACTGGCATAGAACCTAAACAATTCTGGTTTAAATAGTCTGGTTTTAACGAGATACTTGCCTTATCTGCCCAGTCAACAAATAAACGTACTGGATGCCTACTATGTGCTAGGCTCTGCACTAAGTGCTAGGGATTCAACAGTTAAAAAAAAAAATCAAATTCCCACCTTCATGGAGCTTACATTTTAGCAGAGGGAGGGGAGGTGTCAATAAACATGAATAAGTACATTATACCACCCGGGCTTGTTGGCTCAGCCTGTAATCCCGCGCCTTTGGGAGGCTGAGGTGAGTAGATTGCCTGAGCCCGTGGGTTCGAGACCCGCCTGGGCAGCAAGACCTCATCTCTACAATAAATCAAAAAATTAGCCGGGCGTGGTAGCGCATGCCTGTAATTCCGGCTACTTAGAAGGCTGAGGCGGAAGGATCGCTGGAGCCCAGCAGGTCGAGGCTGCGGTGGCCAGGAGCGCCACTGCACTCCAGTCTGGGCGACAGAGTGAGACTCCAACTCAAAAAAAAAAAAAAAAAAAAGTACATTATACCACGTAGTAGAGGTGAAAGTGCGATGGGGGAACAGGAAGCAGGGCAAGAGGATCAGAGAATTTGGGAAGGCAGTTATTTTAAGCACAATGTTATTCAAGTGTTTACTCTCAAACAAGACAATTACAACAAGAAAAAGTAAAATATGTTACATTTCATGTTCAGAGATACTCTTGGAATTTCTACTTGAGCATACAAACCAGGTCATGAAATGCAATGTGAAAGAACAGCCTATTCTACCCTCCATTCAGATAAAATTTTAATAATTGATTTTCTTTTTCCCTAATACTTTAAATAGTATAAACCAACTGGTTTTGTTCCTAGATGATCTGGAGTATTTAACACATCAGGAAAATAGACCTTTATCAGCAACAGTTGTTACCGATTATGTTTCAGTATTCCTTTTAAGTTCCTCCCCTAACATTTTTAAGTTGGCTATATTTGGATAACAATAAGGAAAAAACCTTATGAAATTTAAGTTTAGCCGGGTTCGGTGGCTCAGCCTGTAATCCTGCGCCTTTGGGAGGCTGAGGTGAGTGGATTGCCTGAGCCCGCGGGTTCGAGACCCGCCTGGGCAGTGAGACCTCATCTCTACAATAAATCTAAAAATCAGCTGGGCGTGGTAGCACCTGCCTGTAATTCCGGCTACTTGGAAGGCTGAGGCGTAAGGATCGCCAGAGCCCAGGAGGTCGAGGCTGCGGTGGCCGGGAGCGGCCACTGCACTCCAGTCTGGGCAACAGAGTGAGACTCCAAATCAAAAAAAAAAAAAGAAATTTAAGTTTATAATTATAAGCACTGTTCTTACCATGAAAATAAAATGTGTGCACTGCTATGGCTAAGGAATGAAATATTCTGGCTAGTTTCTTCTTTGGGTTTTAAAAATTCTATTCTAAAAATGTTAGTGTAAATTTACCAATTTATGTAATGTCTATTATTTTCCTGACTCTAAAAATAATATACGATTGTTGCAGAGAATCTGGAAAACAGAGACATATAAGAAAATGAAAGTCATTCTACAAATTATCAAGTTTCAAATAGTTAAATAATAACAAACATTACTGAATTCTAAAACTATCCTATTAGTATTTCTTTGGGAGTTCAGAAGACTCTTGAGACTCTTGCATTTATTTATTAAAGAAACATTTGCTGAGCACTCACTGTGTCAGGGAGAAGAGGAGATTGAATAGGAGGAAAAAAACCACGTGAGTTCTTCAAGAGCTCCCCTTCTAGAAGTAGTCAATGAGCAAGTACCTGCACAGTACGGGGCAATGTGACTACAGAGGACCTGCGCTCCACCTGTAATATCTGATCAGGCTCTAAGAATAAACACGTCTATTACTGTATGTTTAAATCAGAGACGATTCTTTTTAAAAACAGAAAGGAGCACACACTACAGGCCAGAGGAGAAACGAGGACCCTCCACCCGTGACATATCTGAGAGCTTGGTAGGGGCGTGACAGCTGTGGCATAAGCGCAAGGAGCTCTGCATCTGGCCTTGGCTTTCCTTTGGATGGGTTCTCTGGTCCTTACATTTCAGGGTGCAAAGAGTCACTCACTGTGAACATCAAACCACAGATGGTCTACTGATGATCGATTTTAAGCTGCTTTTCAACAGCAATGTACCCCATATGCTGATTTTAAAACCACATTGCTGAGTACAGTGTGACACCAGCATATTCCCAGGGCCAGCCACAGAATCAGGAGAACAACTTTCTCATGGCAGAAGGAGCCTCGGGGGCCTGGGCTGGAGTTTGGAAGAAAAACTTGTCCAGATGAAGAGGGAAAGGTACCCAAGGAGACAGAGTGGCGCATGAGGGCACCGCAGGGAGCTGGAAGGAAGAGCTGCTCAGAGCTTGGAGCCCAGGGGAGCAGCAAACCGGCAAGGGCCAGTGGTAGGCGCACTGCGTGGAGCCAGCGAGTGGAGGGTCCCACTGACTGTACTGAAAGCCTAGAATTGAGCCTGTACCCCGAGCACAAATCACGGGCATTTAAACTGTAAAACGTATGATCAGACTTGTTTTTAAAGATTGCTCTTGTCTTAACGTGGAAGAGGAATGGGAGAAAAGGTAAGGTCACCAGTTAGAATGTCAGCAAATCCAGTGAAGTGATGAGGGCTCCAGGCAGAGGCAATGCCTAAATGATGCAGATAAGCCCAGCTAATACAGACCCCCGATTTCACAGAAGAACATGCTACTAAGACTTTCTGAGCCAGGTTTCTTCCTATAGACTACCCTGTGGAGCTGTGGTGAGGATAAACAACAGGCAGCATAAAAGTTGGCTGGGTGTGGTGGCTCATGCCTGTAATTCCAGCACTTTGGGAGGCCAAAGAGGACCAGGAGTTCAAGACCAGCCTGAGCAACTTAGCAAGACCTCATCTCTATAAAAAATAAAAATTAGCCAGGCATGAGGGTGCACACCTGAGTTCCAGCTACTCAGGAGGCTGAGGTGCAGGATCGCCTGAGCTCAGGAGATCGAGGCAGTGCTGACTTGCGATAGTGCCACTGCACTCCAGCCTGGGCAAAGAGTGAGACTCCTATGCAATCAATCAATCAATAATAAAAAATAAAAGTAGCATAAAAGTATGCAGGAGAGGGTCAAGTACTCAGGAAACTAAGTGTTAGTTTCATTTTCTTTAACATCAATTATTACTAAATCTGTAAATGAGCTTCTGGTTTATAAGTCACTAAATACAAGCTCACTGTGTTTTCATAAAACAGTTTGAGTTATCATTACTGCCACTTTTTTCAGTTCATGTGGAAAAGGTATTTCACATTGCCCCTAAGTAAATATATTATCAGATTCAATGTTTCAAACAGGCACAGGAAGAACATGGCATGAATTTTACTGAACATGATTATGATCTACTGCTATTTAATTATCTTTAACTTTCATAAACATGAAACTTTATGGTTTATCTTTAACTTTCATAAACATTATCAGTCCCAAATTAAAAAAAAACCTCTTCATCTTAGTTTCAGTCCACACTTTTATGTGAGGAATTAGAGCATGTCACTGATTATACGTGTAAAGCTGAAGGCTTACTACAAATAGGGCAAAAGGCCTGGTTATAGAAAGCACACATTAGTTAATAAGCAAAACTGGAGAGGAGAAATTTAAGGAATCTTTATAAATGATAGAAAGGACATAAGTATTTTAACTCAGTTAAGATACTGGCTCAAATAATTTGAGTTTTTTGTATTATTTGCGTTTGTTTGTTAAGCCTCTGTTTAATAAGTGCTGATTTACTTTAGAATACCAACACCGCTGGGCTCGGTGGCTCAGCCTGTAATCCCAGCACTTTGGGAGGCCGAGGTGAGTGGATTGCCTGAGTCTGCGGGTTCGAGACCCGCCTGGGCAACTTGGCGAGACCTCATCTCTACAATAAATCAAAAAATCAGCCGGGCGTGGTAGCACATGGCTGTAATTCCGGCTACTCGGAAGGCTGAGGCGGAAGGATTGCCGAAGCCCAGCAGGTTGAGGCTGCGGTGGCTGGGAGCGGCCATGCACTCCAGTCTGGGCGACAGAGTGAGACTCCAACTCGGGGAAAAAAAAAAAAAAAAGAATACCAACACCACCTGGTTTTTTAGACTGTTTGTTAAGCTTTTTTTTTTAAAGATATGGGGTTCCACTATGTTGTCCCAAATCGAGTACGGCAGCTATTCACACGTGTGATCATAGCACACTCAAACTCCTGGGCTGAAGCAATCCTCCTGCCTCAGCCTCCTAAGTAGCTGGGACTATAGGTGCAAGCCACCAAGCCTGGCTTTAGACCAACTTAAAAAAAAAAAACCAAAACAGTTAAAACAAGAGCTACACAATCATGTACATGACCAGGGTCCGTTATTATTCTTTTTGGCTATCAGAAAGCATGATATCAAATTAAAATAAAATCAGATTAGGACATATAATCAAAGTATCATCATTTTATGTTTTTCTCTCCTCAGATCTTGACCTTGTCATTTTAATATTTTATTCCAAACATTTTTATAATGCCTAAACTGTTTTGTGAGTGAGACAGAATATGAATAAAAAACCTAAAATAGCAGATAGTCACTGGTATGTATATCTTTGTAATAAACCTCAGAACTGAAACATTCTTAGACAAGCATTTTCATTTTTAAATTAAAAAAAATTTTTTTTTTAAAGACAGGGTCTCACTCTGTCACCCAAACTGGAGAACAGTGGCACAATCATAGCTCACTGCAGTCCCAAACTCTTGGGCTCAAGTCATCCTTCTGCCACAGCCTCCCAGAGTAGCTGAGACTACAGGTATGTACTACCACTCCTGGCTAAATTTCTAATTTTTTGAAGAAACGAGGTCTTGCTATGCTACCCAGGCTGCAGGCAGACTTTTTTTGGGGGGGGGTAAAAGTCTCACTCTGTCACCCAGGCTAGAGTGCAGTGGCACACTCACAGCCTTCCAAGTAGCTGGAACTACAGGTGTGTGCCACCATGCCTGGCTAATTTTTTGATGTACTATAGAGATGAGGTCTTGCCAGGTTGCCCAGGCTGATCTCAAACCGCTGGACCCAGGCAATTCTCTCGCCTCCACCTCCCAAAGTGCTGGGATTACAGGCATGAGTCACCACACCTGGCTCAGATATTTTTTATACTTTAAATTTCTCATGTGTTAACTTTAATCTACAATTAAAGCTTACAAAATTATGTACAACTTTTATTTACTTATTTATTTTAAATAACATTCTTAAGATAAAAATATACCTTTGGAGATAAGAAAATTCTAGAAGATAAAGCATATTGCTATATCAAGGCAATTTGTTTCAACAAAAAGGTCAAATCAAGGCATAATTACCTATTCCTGAAAATTTCGTGCAAATATATTTGGGGGAAAAAACCTTGCAACATAATTACAATCACCGATCTTTTAATTCCTTCATTCTTGCCTGAATTACCAGAAAAAGCATCCCAGCTAGATTCCCTCGTTCTAGCCTCCACATCTGCTATAAGCACCCATTGTCCAGCCTAGTCTTTGCCGTGGTGGTTCCTAACCTTTTTTGGGTTAGGGAGCCCATATGCTAAGATATAAATCCTGTCTCCCTTCTCCACACACCCAAAATGCACATATAAACAAAACTTTACATACAATTTCAGGGACATCATAGAAGAAACCCAGAGTAAGATCTCCTCTTCCAAAATTTCTGTCTCAGCTGGGCACATAGGCTCATACCTAGGCTCACATCTATAATCCCAGCACTTTGGGATCCCAAGGCAGGAAGACTGCTTGAGCCCAGGAGTTCAAGACCAGTCTGAGCAATATAGTGAGACCTCGGCTTTATAAAAAATAAAAAAATTAGCTGGGCATAGTGGCACACACCTATAGTCCCAGCTACTTGGGAGACTGAGGCGGGAGGATCGCCTGAGCCCAGTAGGTTGAGGCTGCAGTGAGCTGTGATCATGCTGCTGCACTTCAGCCTGGGCAAAAGATGAGATCTTGAATCAAAAAAAAAGAAAAAGAAAAAGAAAAAGTCTGTCTCCTTACAGCGCTTCTTTGGAGCAATTTCTAGCTGCTCCAACAGCTTCCATGCGGAATCCATAATCCGGCTCCTAAGACCCTTCCTACTGCTCCAACCATTTCACTTACTGCTTAAGACTCACAACTCCAGCAAAGTGCTGTGCAAATACGATGGCTCACAGAAAGGGGCATCAGCTAAAATCATCAGTCCCTTTTCACTAACTCTGGCCTCCTCAGCAGACCAAAGTTCCCCAGGAAGGATTGGTTTTGCTCAATACTGTATTTCCAGTGACTAGTCTCTGGCAATAGTTCTGTCGATAAATATTTGGTAAATAAATGAATAATAATCTGGTGTAATGATATTTACTTGCTAAAGTTATATAATACAATGATCAGTGTAAAAACTTGACTTTCCTTTTTTGCCATAGGTATTGTAGCAAAAGCAGCTACCTTAAATTAAACGTATATTTTAGAAAGAGAATGCTAATTTATAAGTAGCTAAAGGACAATGCTTACTGTGTACTTTATTTTCATTTCAAATCTTCCTTTTGGAATATAAATACCATTCATAGAGTCAAAGAAGCAAACGTCATCTGAATCAGCCTGCAGGTCCACATAAGCAGATGCAAGGCCTTGTGTCTCTATCTTTAACCAGAAGTAAGGGGGGGAGGGGGGAAGGACTGCATTACAATCAGTTCTTTCATGCTCTAATCCACCTTGGTGGCATAGTTACTGACTGCCCCAGCAAAAGCCAGGCATGCTCTGCAAGGAGAATAATCTATTGGCAACAAAACTTGGTATTGAAACATCTAAGCAAGTGGATTTCAGGAAGAAAAAGGTAGTGACACCCAGGGACATAGGTATCAAAATGGGGACAAACAATTCATGGCGGCAGGGGAGGGAGGAGACAACTGGCTAAATTAACAATATAGAGTAAGGTCAAAAGTTTTAACTAATTTGTAAGACAATATAAGAAAGAAACTACTTAAATCAATTCCACTTCTAATCATCTGAGCTATTTTGGTACAGGATAACAGGTAGTTTTAAGAATTCATCTCTGAGTCACAGTGGAGAAAACAGTTGACTACTGTTTCAAAGAGATTTCCCCCCATAATGAATAAGATTATAAAAGGGGAACCTACCTGACCCCTCATCACAGACATCTGACTTTCAAAAGTAGCTTTGTCAAATCCTTTGTCAGTCTATCACAAAAAAGAAAAAAAACATTAAATTCCCCAAATCAAGATCTCTAAAACAAATGTTTGAAAGCAAACAAACTCCTCAACTCAGCAAATAAAGCCATTTACAAAACTTTCCTAGATAAAATAAGACAAAAAGAGTACTTTTACCCAATATATTTTTGTATATTTCCAGAAGGTGACAAGATTGATTTGTCTATACCCCAACTTGTTCCAGAAAGGATGACTTTCCAGCCAATGGTTTTAGGCTTTTTAAGAGAATTAAATCATAGCAGTTCACCAAACACGCATTACACTTTATAGAGTATTCTGGAAAAAAGTCAACTTTTGAAGAAACAAGTTCTTAAATTTTAATGTAGACTCACTTCAAAGAATACGAATAGTAAGTGTAATTTGACATGTTTACGCTTCTGTGAAAGTAAAACTGCCAATTCTCTGCCAGATCTGGCTCTACTACAAGCAGTGACAGAGAAGTAGCAAATCACAAATTTGTTCTATTAAGAAAATCCCTTCTATTTTAAGGTCTATTTCATTTTCTGCAATAATCAAAATTAAGCATTTATTTACCTTGAAAAGTTCATAAAGATCTTCACATAAATCTTGCACAAAGTTCATGTCAGAAATATATGGTAGAATCAAGTTTCTTATTTCTTCAGAAAAAGGAACTTTTGCTTGAGGAAGCCAAGCCCAGTGAAATGGATCTAACAGAAAAAAGTATTCTCCTGATCAGTGGGAGGAAATGGTTTATTTAGACTCACATGTATCCTGGTTCTTTCCTTTAACTCCTAGGTACTTCCCAAAAAGGACAGGAGAACAAAACTAATCAGAGCACAACTATCCTTGGCAACCTAACTGCTCAGATTTGGATAGTCAGTTCAGATAGTAAAGGACAGAAAACTAGTTATGTCTGAGTTTTAGACAGTAAGGAATAAGAGTCTGGCAAAAGTGGCTATCAAATAGCGCTATTTCAAAAAGCACATCTGAATCTATCTGGATCCTGAGTTTAGAAACTGATTGAGGGCAACCCCTTTGGGCCCCCTCCCACCGTGGGAGCTTTTCTTTCCTTTCAATAAATCCTTTCTTTTTTTTTTTTTTGAGTTGGAGTCTCACTCTGTCGCCCAGACTGGAGTGCAATGGCCACTCCCGGCCACCGCAGCCTCACCTGCTGGGCTCCGGCGATCCTTCCGCCTCAGCCTTCCGAGTAGCCGGAATTACAGGCATGTGCTACCACGCCCGGCTGATTTTTTGATTTGATGTAGAGATGAGGTCTCGCCAAGTTGCCCAGGCGGGTCTCGAACCCGCGGGCTCAGGCAATCCACTCACCTCAGCCTCCCAAAGGCGTGGGATTACAGGCCGCGCCACGGAGCCCGGCTAATCCTGCTTTCTAAAAAGAAAAAGAAAGAAAGAAAGAAAAAAAAGAAACTGATGGATACTTATACCTTGTTCACAGCCCCACGGCTAGGGTCTCCCTGCTCTCCACAGCTACAAATCATCAGGAATGACCACTCACTTGTATATGGATGATAATCAAAAACATTAAATCACTGGGAAGTAAATAGGTGAGTGGCTTTAAGAGATAAAAGATCCAGGACTCTGGGCTACCTCTAGTTGTTTCTTAAGAAGGCCATTAAGTCTACACAGTGCCTGGACTAGAAAGATCTGTACTGGTATAACGGTGGAATCTTCTAGAGGGGATGCATATTCAGATCCCTGCAAAAAAGTTAAGGCGCATGACAGTGTGATGATCCACAGGGCTGCTGTAGGGGTATCCCATGGGAATCCATGAGGAAGAAATCTGCCTTGGGAGTCTGTCCTTCTCACTTCTCTTGTATCTACCTCTTTGCCTATGACGGGATGTACACTCCATTCTAAAGGAAGCCTTTACTCTGGCCCACAGCACCTTGAAGCTATGTCCAATTTCCTTATCTGTCCCTGAAGAAGTTCATCAAAGAAAAGTCCTTATATTTTGCCTGCCTCTACTTCTAATCCCTTCCCTCAACTTCTTCCACCACCATCTAAATTCTTTCTCCTATGACCACCAGCCATGTCCTAAAGGTCTCTCCAAGGGCCGTTTATAGTTGTCAAGCTCCTTAATCTCTCTGTTGCAAGCAGCACTGTTTCCCATTATCTTCCTTACCAAATTCTCTCCTACTGGCTTTGGAGACAGCACTCTCTCAAAGGTTCCCATCTGTCCTATAAGCCACGCCTTCCCTCTTTTGCTAGTTGCTCCTTCCCTCCTTCAATGTCGCTGTTCCCCTAGATTCCATTCTCTTCTTCATTGACTGAGTTCTTAAGTACCTGGCATTGTAATAGGCAGCAGTGTTGGTTCTCCATCATTTCCCTAGTGACAGCAAACACCGTCATGGCTTCCACTAGCAGGATGAGCGTTTAAAAACTATATCCTCAACACCAACTCCTGTTTCAAGCTCCAACCCTTAATCTCCAACTGCGTGCTTGATAATATTCAAGATGTACTTTAGACAACTTAAATGTAACCCTTTTAAGATGCAATTTGCATAAAGGTTCCAAATATTAGGGAGAAATAACATAGGAACCAAAACATTGCACATCAACAAAAGATAGGAAAGATAGGAAAGGGGTCAGGCATGGTGGCTCACACCTGGGAGACCAACCCGGGCAACACAGGGAGACTTCGTCTCTACAACAACAACAAAGATAGGAGAGGCAAAAAAAAAAAAAAAAAAAATTGAATTTATGATAAATGGAAAAAAAATAAGATGCCAGGAGAAGTTAGCATATGTCAGTAGTTTACTGACACTTAAACTACGGAGTTAAATGCACCTACAAAAAGACTCAGGCTGGGTTAAAAAAACAAAACAAAATCCAGCTAAGTATTATTCAAAGTCATATACCTAAAACAAAATGAAGAAAAAGATTAAAGTGGAGAATAATACCAGGTAAATGCTAACAAAAAGAATGGAGGTATAACAGTGTTACAACAGACAAACAAGAAAAGCAGAAAACACTGGAGGGAACAGTAAGATATACTGCATACAGATAAAAGAATAAGCCATCAGCATGAAAAATCATTGGACCGTTATGTGTGTGAAATACCAAGCAAAAAATGCAAAGAAATGAAGAAAGAAACTGACAAAAATCACTGTCACAGTGGTATTTCATTTCCTTTCAAAAATTAATAGATCGAGTGGTCAAAAAAATAAGGCTATGACTTACATGATGAACAACTAACAAGCCTTAATTAGCAGACAGATACAGAATTTTGTGCCCAAACATTATTTTCAAATAGTCCTTCATATTGGCCATATATAAGATCACAGAGAAATTACTAACAAATTGCAAAACACAAAATTCACACAAGCCATAAGCACAGATCACAATGCAATAACACTGGAAGTAACAGAGGACAGCTTTTTAAAAATAGGAATAGACAGTAAAAAAAAAAAAAAAAAAAAAAAAAAAAAAAAAAAAAATCAACCAATCTAGAAATTTTTAAACCAAACAAGATACTTCTAAATTATCCCTGTCAAACAGGGCAGCCTCTATCCTACCTGTGGCTTGGCCCATATGATACCCAAAGGAAAACACACGGCCTAATATGCATTTATAAGATAGCAATAGATGGAAATAACTGAATAATAATGATGGAAAACATAAATCAATAAAAGAAAAAACAAACAAAAAGTCTAGTCAATAAAATAAAAAGGCAATTATCTAAAAAAAAAAAAAAGCCAAAATATATCAATAAATAAAAGGACAATGTTTAACTGTAGAAAAATCTTTGGCAAGCCTAATGAGGTAAAAAGTCCACTAATAAATGGTAGAAATTGAAGAGACATAATCACAAATACAAAGATTTAAAAGACTTATTACATATTTAAAAATTTGGGGGGGGGACAGGGTCTCACTCTGTTGCCCCGGCTGGAGTACAGCGGCATGATCACAGATTACTACAGCCTTGAACTCCTGGGCTCAAGTGACCCTCCCACCTCAGCTTCCCGAGTAGCTGGGAATACAGGTGCATGCCATCAACCTAGCTAATTTTTAAATTTTTTCGTAGAGATGAGGTCTCACTATATTGTCTAGGCTAGTCTCAAACTCCTGACCTCAAGCCATCCTCCCTTCTTGGCCTCCCAAAATGCTGAATTGCAGGCAGGAGCCACTATACCCAGCCAAAAACATTTATATCTTAAATGTATACAAATACAAATAAACATAAACAAAAACAAATAAACAAAAAAACCTAGTATAATGAATTGCCATATTCCCAATAACCTAATTCAATTATTACCAAATATTTGCAAAATTTTATTTGTCGCCTTTGTGCCTCATCCCCACATGTATTTTAGGGCAAACTCCAGACATCATTTCACTTCACCCCCTACATAACTTACTATGGGCAGAGGGAATTTCTTATAAGAGAATTATATTAAAATGTTATACTCATAAATCAATAATTCAAGAGATATGGATAATTTTAAGCAAAACAAAAGTGTCTCAAACCAGCTCAAGAAGATGTTCGAAAACCTAATAATCAGCCGGGCTTGGTGGCTCAGCCTGTAATCCTGCGCTTTGGGAGGCTGAGGTGAGTGGATTGCCTGAGCCCATGGGTTCGAGACCCGCCTGGGCAACTTGGTGAGACCTCATCTCTACAATGAATCAAAAAAATTAGCTGGGTGTGGTAGCACATGCCTGTAGTTCCATCTACTTGGAAGGCTGAGGCGGAAGGATTGCTGGAGCCCAGCAGGTCGAGGCTGCGGTGGCTGGAAGCGGCCACTGCACTCCAGTCTGGGCGACAGAGTGAGACTGGCAATGCAAAAAAAAAACCAACCTAATAATCACCCACAGAAGAGGCTGGGAAGCCAAGGAGAGCACCACTGGCTAAAAAGGGGGTGGGGTGGATGGCAGGTCTCAATGGTTTTATAAGTGAACACAATCTAAGACTTAAAATATACACCTACCAAATTATTAAGAAATATCATTCCACTTATGTATATCTTTATTTATTTATTTTTTGGCCTGTACAAATTTTGTATATTTTAAAAACTGGAAAGCTACCAAACTAATTTTTCAAGGCTAATACAAGCCTAAAAATTAAAACCAAACAGTCATCCAAAAAGAAGTCAACAGTATCAGCAAGACCCATGTCATACATGTCCTCTTCCCAAGCACCTAGAACTGAGCCCTGATTCATGATACTTAATCCTCTATTGCTTTCTTATAAATGCATATTAGGCCATGTGTCTTCCTTTGGGTATCATATGGGCCAAGCCACAGGTAGGACACCGGCTGCCCTGTTTGACAGGGATAATTTGGAAGTATACTTTTCCTCCACTATTTTGATATCTGTAAATTTTGTTCCCTTTCTATTCTGGAAAAGAGTTAACTGTAGAGTCTTTGGAAGGTCCTACTCACATGCTCGCCATTCATCAGGATGTTTAAAAGGAAAGGCTAGACCATTGTCAATTGCAGCTATTTTGATAAGCAATGCTTTATCATCAATCCATTTTGAACCCTAAAGAGAAAAAAAAATGAACTGTTGACAAAAAACCTATATAAATATTTTCAAAGAATATGAGGTTTAAGTACATATTCTCTCTGAAGAGCCTATGAAAATTAACAATAAATTGCCACAAAGAATACAAACTCACCCAGGAAGAAAAGAGATTGAGATTATCTTAAAAACCAGTAAGAAGCGCATAATCATTATTTTTAAAAATTTGACATTATATGTTTACTTAGTAATAGCTTCATTTTTTTCCTCTTTGAAGGTCTTGAAAATATTAAGACTTTAAAAGTGATGGTCTAGGTAATGCATTGCTTAAATGTATAACACTTGTAAAATAGTACTGATCTTTAAAAAAATAACTTAACAAAATTATTTATCAAGATCTAGTCTTTCTTAGGGTTCCATCAGGTCCTATACATAATTAAGTCCTATGAGATGTTTCTCAATGAAATTCCCCCAAAGACCATAACTAACTATAACAAGTTCCAGTAGAAGGAACCTCAAGATATTCTTGACTACAGACTATATGTAGGCCACTCCTAACTTCCACAGTCTTTGCAGCAGAAATGAAAGTGTCAGGAGCAAGGCGATTTTCATGTTAAAAAGTAATTCTAATTATTTAATGACAGGTGGCTACCATTACTAGATAAAAACCATAAGAGTGAAAAAGGCGACTTTGGGGTTAAAAGTACTACAGTGAAGCCTCATATAATGTATGCCAGATTTCTTCCTTCTAGCTTATATCAAATATCTTACTTCAACAAAAATGCACCAAATACTAAGAGTAAAATGATGATTTCAGCAAAATCAAATTGTTGAAGATATACCAATAAAATGAATTCAGGAGCTTATAAACATGCTCGTGCATTTTAAACCCATTTCTGTAATAACTGCCATTTATACTTATTTCTACCACTCTTTAATTTACAATTTTATTCAGGTATAATTAACACACAATGAACTTCCTGTAGTAATAAGCTCAACTTGATGAGCCTTGACACATGTGAAATCTTCACCCAAAAGTTTCCTTGTGTCCCTTTGTAGTCCACAGTGGCTTGTTTTCTGTTACTAGAAACTAGTTCTCATTTTCTAGATTCCTACATAAATGAAATCATAAAACATGTTCCCTTTAAGAATAGCTTCTTTTTTTTTTGAGTTGGAGTCTCACTCTGTCACCCATGCTGGAATGCAGTGGCATGCTCACAGCCACCCCAGTGTCGACCTGCTGGGTTCCAGCTATCCTTCCGCCTCGTCTTCCAAGTAGACAGAACTACACCGGCTAATTTTTATTTGTTGTGGAGATGAGGTCTCGCCAAGTTGCCCAGGCTGGTCTCGAACCCTCAGGCTCAGACAATCCACTCCCCTCAGTCTCCCAAAGTGCTGGGATTACAGGCTGAGCCACTGAGCCTGGCTGAATAGCTTCTTTTACTCAGCATAATTTTAAGATTCATCCATGTTACTTGTGTGTATCAAGTTTTTTTTTATGTTAAATACCATAAATATATATTTTTTAATTTCCTTGATCAACATGTAAAAGTTCAAATTTTTAAAAGTGATGCTGTGAGAAGACAGAGATTATAAATATTAGAGAAATTTTTAAATTGCTCATTCAAAAAGTTCAAGTGTACAAATTATTATAAGCTTGTAAAAATATTCTGAAAATATCTCTTATGTAATACCTAAAACTTGAACTTGGATATTCAAAGTGGACAGCAACTAATCTAGTATCTATAACTCTGATAGTGTTATCAGTCTATAGGCTGGGCATGATGGGTCACACCTATAATCCCAGCACTTTGGGAAGCCAAGGAGGGAGGACTGCTTGAGCCCAGGAGTTCAAGATCAGCCTGGGTAACAAAGCAAGACCTCATCTCTACAAAAAATCAAAAAATTGGCTGGGTGTGGTAGTATGTGCCTGTAGTCCCAGTCACTTGGGAGGCTGAAGTGGAAGGATCACTTGAGCTCAGAAGGTCGAGGCTGTGGTAAGCTATGACCATGTACTGCACTCCAACCTGGGCAACTGAGTGTGATCCTTGACTCCATAAAAAAAAAAAAAGGTCTATGTAGTCTGCTATGTATGTTAAAACCAACTTCTTACAGGTAGTAGAAGTACTTTTTAAAAAGTTCATCGGATGGTATTCACAGGTAAAGCTGACATGTTCCATTTTAGGTAATATTTTATTCCCTAACAGAGTACTGAATCACAAGACTCAAAAGGAAGTGAATGACTAAAATACAAACATGGTGACCAAAAATACCAAAACGCAAAATAAATCTGGTGGTTCTACAAATTTCTCAAGCACTAAAAAAGTACTAAGCTCGTATTATTTTTTTAGTCTCATAAAAAATAAGAAAGCTGCCCAGAGATGATAAAAAATAGAATTGATAAATGCAATGTAAATAAGTGATGGAAAGACAAAGGATGGGAAAAACAGAGAAAGGAGATTAAAAACCAAGGAGCCAAGTGAAGGAAGGAGGACATGGTGAAGAAAAACTTAACTTCAAGAAATCTTTCATAAAAATTGAATATATTTTTTATTTGCTTACTTTAAATGTCCTTACCTTATGGTCATTTTTCTTTCCACATTTCTGTTTTTCATATCTGATTAACCAATTATCATTCCCCCTGTCTTTCAAAACAAACATGAAAATCTGTCATTTCATTTTTAGGGACTTTAGGTCTTAATATTAATGAGAAAAATCTAGTCATCTCTTGATTTTTGAGATTTTCATTGGTTATCTACAGCATATGCTTGCAATATTAAAGGTTCCAATTTAACACAAACTAAAAGAAGAAAAACCCACAAATGTCATCTAACATTTATTCAACATTTTCTCTATGCCAGGCATTGTTGTAAACTTAATTTGTAGTAATTCATGTAATCCTTATAACTACCCTGTGAGATAGGTATTAAATCAAGGTTATTAAAACCAAGAAACTTCTTCACTTTAGGAAGAAAAAATACCTATTACTGGGCAAATTTTTAGGGAAGCTGACCTAATGTCAATCTAGGAACAGTCTGTACTGTATACTAATTTTAATATTACCCAAGACCATATTAATTAAGAAAATAAATTGGCCAGGCTCGGTGGTTCAGCCTGTAATCCCAGTACTTTGGGAGGCCAAGGTGAGTGGACTGTCTGAGCCCGCGGGTTCGAGACTCCAACTCCAAAAAAGAAAAGAAATCTAGAAAATGGATGCTTTTTCAGAAACTAATAGAAACATGAAAACTTTTTTTCTTTTGAAAGCAGGATTTATTGAGAGGACAGAAAAGCTCCCACAGCTAGAGGGGACAACATTTTTAATCAACCAGTGATTCTCAACTTTAGAGTGCACCAGAATAACCTGGAGGGCTCCTTAAAACACAGCCGGCTGGCACCCACCTGCAGCGTTTTTGCATCACCAGGTCTAGGTGGAGTCTGAGAAAACATGTGTTTAACAAGTTCTAATGCTGACCCCGAAAGTCTGGGAACCCCTGCTCTAAATTATCTACATCATGGCTCCCTTACAGTACAGAAAAAACTAAGAGGTGAATGTATTTACAAACTATGCTAACAGCCACAGATTGTAAAAATCAGCATCTAACATAATTTATACATACATTATTCACATTATGCATAAAACATTTCTAATATCTGGAGTGGTCCTACCCCTAGAAATTCCTCTCTGGGGGACAGGAACTGATCACTGGAGTCTGCTAAGAGTCAGAATCCAGTTCAGGATTCAGTCTGCCCAGGGGCATTAGCCCCACATCTGTTTTCCAAGGCAAGAAGAGGAAGTGGCTTCAAGACTGCCGCATCAAAATCATATGGCTTTGATCTGGATAACAAGAATACAGTTTGAAAGCTAACAAGATTTGAATGAAAAAATGAGAGAACATCAATACCTGTATTTCTGATGATGTAATCCAAAATAACTAATCTTTCAAATTGTGACTGAAATTGTTTTCTAACATTTTCAGGCAAAGGGTCGGCTTCAAATTTCCTAAGCCAATATTCAGCTTCCTTGTAACCTTCAACAAATAACTGAAAGGAACCAATCTATAATTTTAAGAACTACCGTTAGAAAAGAAAGCACAAGAACAAAGGGGTTAACTTTTTAATTCTCAGCAGTACTGTCATAAAATATGCTATATAAAAACAAAGGAAAGGAAAAAACCGCCAATTTAGATAAGCCACATTTATCAAAAAAACTATTTTTATACACTAATTTTAAATAACCACATGAAGACTACAAAGCAAATAAAAAATGCTCAGCCCTAGACTTTCCAGGAGCATAGCAGATATTTTAGGATAATTAAAAAAGAGAATAAACATGTACCCTCAAGGTGACACTCTTACAAAGAATGCCATTTTCTACAAATATTCATTAAAATGAATTTAATTACAGAGGCCAAATTTTAATCCTATCCTGCTCATTTAATAATAGTGCAATTTTATCTTACTGAAGAACCTTTTCATAATTCATTTTACAACATAAAATACACAAATAATTTTATTTTAAGAATTGAATGGATTCCTTGACCATGCAGATTAAAGACACTATCATAAATTTAAAAGAACTAATCAATTAATTATAAGCTCTATAGTAATTTTGAAGAAATAGTTATTTTCTTAAAGGGATTATTTTAAATGGCATTTTTATTACTAGCATGACTAGTTAATGTTAGACAATTCAGTAAAGAAGGAAATACAGATAAAAAGCACATGACATATAGGTAATGGGTAACCTGGTTTACCTCATGAATGCAAACAAGCAAATCACGACAAAGAAAATCTATTTCTCATCCTAACACTTAATGCTCTTGTTGACATAAAACTTTAATAATTTCCTAAAAGTTTCCTACAAAGCACTTATATTTAAGTTTTGCAGCCATAAATATGAAAACAATATCCTGCTTCAGTTAGACTTATTTCAGCATATCCCAGGGGACCAGGTCTCGTAAAAATTTTCAAACTCCTGCTGACTTGTAGTACAATTTTTAAAAAAAGTTAAATATGAATTTCGACTCAAATTCTTTTTTTTTTTAGTTGGAGTCTCACTCTGTCGCCCAGACTGGAGTGCAGTGGCCGCTCCCGGCCACCGCAGCCTCGACCTGCTGGGCTCCGGCGATCCTTCCGCCTCAGCCTTCCGAGTAGCCGGAATTACAGGTGCGCGCTACCACGCCCGGGCTGATTT